GAAGGAGACTCCAAGCTGGTAATAGGGTGAATGCAAGCTAGAAACAAGGGAGCGTGGTCACTAAGACAACCACTTAGAGAAATTTTGAGCTTAGCAAGGGAGCTCGGGTGCAGTTTAGATGGGCAAGAAGGTCAGCAAATGGAATTGCTAAAACTTTAGCTAAGCAATGAGTTAATGTGGAGGCTTTGTTTTGGGCTTGTTTCTAAGGCTAATATTGTTTTGGCTTCTCCAACCATCCTTTGGGTGGTGATATTGTACTCTTTATTTAACTTCATCAATGAAAGTTACCCTCTCCTATCGAGAAAAAGAGAAACCAAACGTATTCTTTATTCAAGAGACAAAATTGACTGCACAAGATAGAAGGTGGATTAGAAGTATTTGCAGAACTAGAGGACTAAGTTGGGATTTTGCACCATCTTGGGGAGCTCCAAGGCGTATACTTACAATTTGGAAGAATGTAGAGTTGGATTTTTTAGAACTCATAGGAAATTACTCAGTTTCAATAAGTTAAGAAGGGTAGCTGATGGGAAGGAGTGGGTGTTGACCAATCTCTATGGCCCTAATCCATACAGAGTGAGGGACCACTTTTGGGAGAAGTTAAGTGTAGTAAGAGGTTTATGGGAGGGACCTTGGTGTTTGGGGGGAGATTTCAATGTCATAAGATTTTTGAGGGAAACTATCAACCCAAACCAAAGAATTACCCAAAGCATGAGAAAGTTTAACATTCTAGTGGATACCTTCAAGCAATGTTTTCGAACTGTCATTGACCTGGACGTTCGGACCAGAAACCGTTCAGGCAACCAGTTTCGTTTTACCCCAAAACGGGTCTCTGGTCAAAATTGTTGAATTAGTCAACGAACCGTTGACCCAGACGGTTTGACCGTTGAACCATTCAACCTGAAGAATGGTTTGCGGTTTATTAACTTGTCACAACAAAATGAAAAGGGAAGAAGATCTCTCAGATCTGAGATCTAGTGAGAGAGATCTCACATTTAGAGATCTGGGAGAGAAGTTTAGACTCTAGATGACAGATCTGCGAGAGAGGGATTGAGATCTGAGACTTAGAAATCTCAGATCTACTTCAGTTTTTCATCATCGCTGTTGCCGTCGCTGTCATCGCCGACTCGCCGCTGCAGCCTTCAAGCTCTCCTCCTCGTCCTCTTCTTCTTCATCTTTATTTTCTCTTATATTTATATGCATCTTACCCTAATATTCCAATCTAATGGGTAAGATGACATATCACTATTAAAATATTCAAACCGTCCGAACCGTTTGACCCGGACGGTCGAACCACTAACCCAGAAACCGGTGGCCAGAACGGTTCCGTTTCCGGGTCGATTTTTAAAACCTTGCCTTCGAGTTGAAAGACCCACCTCTACTACAAGCTGAATTCACTTGGTCAAATTTCCAAGCAACCTAACCTGCTCCAAGCTCGACAGGTTCCTCTTTTCAGTAGATCGGGAAGGGTTGTGAGAAAATTCTGCAAGGGCTTTGCCTATGGTAACTTTAGACCACTGCCCATTTTCTTAAGATAAGAAAACTTGATAGGTGGCCCTTCACCTTTCCGGTTTGAGAATATGTGGCTATGGGACGCTACCTTCAAAGATAGATCAAAAGAAAGAATCAAGGATTGGAACAAGTCTCACTTTGGAAGGTTAGAAGCGGCCTAGGAAAGAATTAAGGATTGGCACAGATGGACTACAAGAAAGTTAAAGGATCTAAAAGAAAGAATCAAGGATTGGAACAAGTCTCACTTTGGAAGGTTAGAAGAAGCCCAAGAAAGAATGAAGGTAGAGTTGGAGGAAAAGTCCTAATAATTTTGAATGAGGAGGAAAGAGAAGAAGGTCGAGGCTGAAGGTAGAGTTGGAGGAAATTCGAAAGAAGGAAAAAATATCATTGAGGCAAAAATCAAGATGTAAATGACTTCAAGAAGAGGATGGAAATAGATGTTTTTTCCATTCTCTTGCAAATGGGAGAATGAAAAACTTTATTACTTTGGTAGAGGTGAATGGGCAGGAAATCGGGAGTGAAAGGGAGATGATCAAAGTTTTTGTGGATCACCTCAAAGGTATTTTCTCTAAAGTAGATAGAAGAAGCCAAGAATTGCCAAACCTTGACTTTAATCAAAGCAAGAAAGTTGGAGAAGATGATGGAGGACTTCTTATGGGAACTAGAAGATGTAAAGAAAGATCATTTGGTGAAATGTGCACAAGCGTGTAAACCAAAGGACAAGGGGGGCTTGGGATATGGGAAACTTAGTTTGGAAAAATGCAGCTCTCCAAGAAAATCAAGAAAATGGTTTTGGCACAGGATGATTGAATACACAGGCGATCAGACAATAGCTGGGATGCAAAAGTAGCTCCTAATGCATCACCAACATCTCCCTAGAAAGCAATTCATGAGGTGTATTCTTCCTTCCTCAGCCATATCCAACTTGATGTGGGATGTGGGAACGAGGTATTGTTTTAGGAAGACCTATGGTTAGGAGATCAACCTCAGTGGAATTCTGCAGATGCCAGAGAAGTGTTGAGGGGTGAGGTAGTAGGAAGAAGGCTATACAAGAGGCGGGTAGGGGAGGCGAGAAGGGAACTGTGTATATTAGGAAAAGGAAAACAGGGGGCTTGACACAGGTACTGCTGAGAAGGGAGGAGAGGAGTACAGAAAAGACTCTGTTTGGAGGAGTAGGGGGGAAGAGGAATACAAGAGGCTTCAGAGGGGGTGCGCAAAAGTGGTCTAGAAATTAATACTTTGGTTGAGAAGGAGGTGACGGGGTAAATCATTGGTTTTTTTTGGGGGTGGGGGGGGAGGAGAAGATTTTGCAAGGAGGGCTTTAGAACAGTTTGAAAAGCCAGGACAGAAGACAAGGTTATGAGAGAGAGGAAAGGCAGTTTCTTTATGAGAAACAATTCAACATGTACCTGAAGGATGAGCTTTCAAGGATGGTGTAGTGAGGAGTGGTTGGAACCGGAGGTTTTTCAGGAGGTGTTGTTTTAAATCCTTTGAGGTTCTGGTGGCTTTGGTTGGGCATTGCATCTCCGATTGGATTCCAGTGTCCTCAGAGTTTGAATAGAGTTGATGTCCAGTTTTGGGGAAGCCTTGGTGGATTTTGTTTGTTCTGCAGATTTTTATTCAGTATTCTGCTTGTTTGTATTGGTGTTTTGTTGTTTTGTACTGCTGAGGTGCCTTCTTGTCACCTCCTACTCTGTAACCTTTTTTCTTTTAATAAAATTTTCTTTTATTTACTCTTCAAAAAAAAATTGTTTGGGTGGAACTGGGATTTTAGTTTCAGAAGGGGTCTAAGGGAGATGGAATGTGAGACTCTCATACTTCTTTTGGCCAAGTTAGATTCAGTATTCTTGGACCAAAGAACAGAAATTTGGAGCATGCCGATTCCAACAAAAATTCAATTCTCAGAAAGTTTGTATTGGGATTTTAGTTTGGACAATATTACTGATGGTATGTTCACCTGAGCTTCTTTCTTCAATAACCTAATACAGCCTACAACCTTGGGTTTAAACCTTCCAATGAAAGAAATTTGGAGCATGCCGATTCCAACAAAAAGGTCTTTGTTGGGAGATCTTTTTTGGAAAGTTAAATACCTGTGACTTGTAGAAAAGAAGGCCAAATAAATGTCTTTCCCCTCATTTTGTTGCCTTTGCAAAGCTACTAGTGAATGTATTTCCCATTTGTTTATTCATTGTACTTTTGTGTGTTGTGCTTGGGAGCATTTTTGTTCTCTTTTTGGATGCAGACGGACTCCTCCCAAAGATGTGGTGGGCTTCTTTGATCCAAACTTTCTGAGACAACTAAAGAAGTGAGGAAGAATTTTATGGAAAGCAGTGAGAGCAACACTGGTTTGGACTAATGGGAAAGAGAAATGGGAGGACTTTCAATGAAAAGAGCAGGTCTGAATTGGAGATCATAGATATCATTAAGATAAAAGTTGCACATTGGGTAAAAACCTTGGAAACCTTCCATGATTTCTCCTTTAATGATATTTTACGGTTGTGGAAGTGGCAATTTTGGCTCAAGAGGAGAGAGTGATTATGGGATGGAGACCACCAACAACCAATGTTGTGAAACTAAACTTTGATGGAAGTATTTTTGGAAGTGAAGGAAAGGCTGTGGTTTAGGGGGTGTTCTTCGAGATTCAGAAGGTAAGTTCCGGGTCTTGTAGAGCAAGGAGATTCATTGAAGCAGAACTATTGGCTTTTGCTTCAAGGGCTGAAATTTGCAAAACAGTTTGGGTTGCAGATGCTGGAAGTGGAAGGGGACTCCCGGGTGGTTATTTCCTGGACAAAATTTCACAGCCAAAATGCCTTGGATTTACAGGCACAAGATCCAGGAAATTGAATGCTTAACAAGGGAATTAAATGTTACTTTTAAATGCTTGAGAAGATCTGCAAATGCATGGTAAATGTTTTAGCTAAACAAGGGACAAATAGGCAGTCAATATTTTTGGGCTAAATTGAAATGCTTGTTCAGGGTTTTGCGTTCTAATTGTATTTGGATAATCAGTTGGAAGTGGGTAATTTATTCACAGCAATGTAACCTCTGGTTTAACTATATACTTGATAAATTCTACTTTTGCTGATAAAAAAAAGAGTACTTAAGTGTACACAAATTTCAGTTGGAGGAAAAATTCTGAAAAGATTTTCTTTTACATAGGCTGTGTTTGGTTTGAAGGAAAAAGTAGGGAAAGGAAGGTAAGGTTAAGGAAACCATTACAAGATTTGTAAAGGTTTCCTTACCTTTCCCTACCTTTTCCTTCAAACCAAATATAGCCTTATTGTCCTATTTGTGTATTCCTCCTTTCTTTTTTCTCCATTATTTGTGTATTCCCTCTTTCTTCTTTATTCCATCAGTACACCATACTTTGATTACTTATATTTTGTTACATGGTTTTGATTAAAAAAACTGAATTAGCTTTAAAACTGCCACGTGTGCATATATTCGGGTTAGTGAATAATGCTTTAATGTTGTCTACATATGTTATGCAGGAAATTGAAGAGGTGGATACAGATGAGCACTACCGACCCAAGTCACCTATAGGGATCATCAATGTGACTTTGAAACGGGAGATCTGAAGGCATTGTAACGTACTTCTGCATTTTACGGAGCCTGCTTGAGAAACGTTTTCCCACTAATCTTGTCATGGTGCCTCCAATTTTACCCTTTTCAGGTGTTAGAGCAGGCTTTTAAAGCCTTTAAATCAGATGGTCTGTTTGGGGGAGAGCTTGTGCGTGCTATGAACATTTATGTGTTTGGGATGATGGGTGGCCATTAGTCTCTTGTGAAAGCTTTCTTTTCTCTAAATCTCTGGGAATGGTTGGGGAAACATGTGGTGGGTGGCGAAGAAGTTCCTTGTATAGGTGTTTACGATACTGAGGTAAACTAGAAAACCAACTTTTGGATGCAATTAAATCTGGGTTTGGATGCCATTAAAAGAACATACATAATGTTTGTTAAGGTGGCGTTTTGGTAAATCTGAAATCTTAAAAGTTAAAAAGATATTAAAAGTGTCTGAAAAAAAGAGGCATAATGCTTTTCTACTTTGTAGTGGCATTGAATAGATAAGGTTGTTTGTATTGGATTTAACCTTTGGGATCTGAAATTTCCTGGTTTTACTATTTTACCCCTAAAACAAACTATTTGATAATTTTGAGTTCAATTTGCACTATTTTATAAAAAATAAATTATTAAATTCAAAAATAATATTAATAATATGAATAAATTATAAAAATATTTAATAATTAGCAAATTAATATTTTAAAACTATTAAAATATTTAATAATTAATAAAAATTTAAATAATTAATAATCAATACAACTAAAAATTATAAAAAATAAAAAATAATGATTCCTTAAAATAAGAATAAAATTGTTAAGTATGTATAAATTTATAAATTAAAAGTAAATTAGTAAGAATTAAAATAATAATAATAATAGTAATAAAGTCTATGAAACAATTAAAAAATTAGGTAATAATTAGAAAATTAATATCTTAAAAACTATTAAAATATTTCATGATTAATTAAAATTAAAATAATTAATAATTAACTTTACATCACTTGCAACAGCTTTCTATTTTACATTAGATGTAGAGGAAGCGAATGGGGCGGAGACGACAGTGGTTGGGACTAGAGGGGAGAGAGAGAGAGAGAGAGAGAGAGAGGGTGTTAATTGTTATTGCTGAGAGTTGCAGCTACGGTGGCAGGAAGACAGGGGAGAAAGACCATGGCTTCGTAGAGGTCGAGGTTATGCTTGATGGCTTCGTAGGGAAGAGAGGCCATGGCTTCACAGGGGAGAGAGACCATTTCGTTGTTGAGAGTAACACAATTTCACTTGATTTGAATCATGGCTTCGTAGAGGTTGACGTCAAAGCTACCAAAAGGGTTTCTTGGAGTTCTCAGAGAAAGAGAGAGAGAGGGAATAATGGGATTTGAGAGAGATTTTCTTTTCGATGAGATCTCCATTGTTGGGTTTCTTTGAGTTCTCCATTGTCGTCTCCCTTCTCATTCGATGGCAACAAATTGAATTGGCTTCAGTCGAGTTTAAATGAGGGTGTAATTTGTTATTATTAAATATATCAAGGATATTTTAGACTTTCAACCAGGTCTAAAACGCATCTGATCGCGTTTAGTGCCAGGCCTGGGTCTTAAAGTTTAAGATCTGAAAGTGACATTCAAATCCATTTTTAAGACATGACCCCAAACGTCTATTACCTCTGAAAAGCAAGCTTTTCAAAGATAAGAGGCAGGTTCAGCATTAGCAACGTCACCCGAGTTTCAACTTTTTAAGCAAACAAAATCCACCCGTGACTATCCTAATGGCCCACTTGAATTACGTGGACCGGTGGAGTCTTTAAAGCAAGGTTTTTAAAACTGGACCAGATAGGGAACTGTTTTGGGGTCCAGTTCTCGGGTTGAATGGTCCAACTATCTAGTCCAAACAGATGGCTTATTCTAACAAAAAAATTAAAAAATAAAAAAAAAACAGCCAAAAATAGTTGTCGAGGTTGACGATCGACCACGTAGACCAGTGATTCGTTAACAAATCAACAATTTTTGGTCAAAAGCAATTTTGGGATGAAATAAGTGAACGGTTCCCAGTTTTTCTAGTCCAACCGTCTGGTTCGATCAGGTTTTGATCACTGCTTTAAAGTAAATATGACTTTTGATGCTAAGATTTAATCATGAACATTCAAGTCCATTCACTTCATCCCTTTTTGGGCCTCAAATTTGTATCAAAGTCACTTGCTGGTAGAGTTATCAATGTTAAAAAAAAATTAAAAAAAAAAATGTTTTAATATGGATTGTCATTCATCCCATACATCTCATACATGATGCGTCTCACATAACGGTGTCCGAATGCAGGCTAAAACAATGAAATCAAAGCCTTTGATAAATTAGCTGAGAAAAAAGAAAAAAACTTTTGTGTATTGATATGGCCTACTTTCAACTTGAATTAGATGAAATTATGTGATAATACCACCAAATGTTGGCCTCCTCACATTTGGGCGCCTCACATAACATCTCTCATGAATAAAAACTTCTTTAGTACGGGAGATGTTGCCCATGCATACCGTTGCAAGGGCTTGCACTGTTGCACATGTAAATCGTCCTCCCCGTGTAAAGATAACGTGGAGTATTATAATGGGTCCCGCTCCTGCAGCCTTCTCAAGAATCTCAACAATGTGGGGTGTTCAGCTAAATCCAAACTCTCGAGTGCAGGTTTGCAGCAGCAAATCCCGCCTCATCCAGATTCCGGACTCTCTCAAAAGTCAGAACTGTTTCACGCCAAATTCCGCTTCTCCAAGCTCAATTTGAAACCCGTCACGGTAAGCGACGAAGCATCGAGAGTTAGGGTTTGAAATTTTGAGCTACCATCCAAGCCTCCATTGTCAGAATATGGGTTCTCGTGCTCATCCTATTATCGTCGACGAGGATGACGGCGAAGGCATTGTTGCAGAAGACGACACATTTCTTGGATTCGTCGATTACGCGAGGATGGCTTTGTTGCCGGAAGAAAGGCTAGACTCCGGTGTAAACGAAGAAGATAGCGATGGGCCTAGTTGGAGTTGGGTCATTTCTCGGATTCTCAAGACGTGTATTACTTATTCTAGCGGCGTCACTCCAGCAATTCTCCTCTCCGATCTATTCCAGGTATTCATCACTTCGATCATCATCGTTCTCTTCTATTCGCGGAGTTAGGGTTGACCCAATTTGAACTATTTCCCTGACAGGCCTGGAATGAACAGCTGAGGACTGGGGCTTCAAAAAGAAGGCCTGAATGCGTCATGCATTTGAAAAAGAAACATAAAAGGACGAGGCTTCCAAACACTGTCACCATTGACTCGATATACGAGAAGAAGTTTTTATCTACCAACAGCATTTTGGAAGTCGTTATCGTTGATGTCTTTCTTCTTCCAGGTGCCTTAAGATTTGACCTTTTCGCCCGATGTCTTTTACTTGGAGGTTCCTTTGCTGCTGTGACAATATCTACAAAGATAGTTTTTATCATTAAACATCCTTCTTGATAAACTCCTATTTACTTGCATAAGGAACTGGATGCCTATCAAAAAGGAATTGGTTAAATGACGGTGATATGGAGGCACTAAACTGTTGCAGTATTTCAATCCATAAGAACAAACTTTAAAACAGTGAAGCCGTTATTTATCAAAAAATAAAAAGTTAAGCCGTTAAGTTCCGTATAATGATACTTTAAATCTATAATAAAATTGGGAAATGACCAGAAATGACCACGCCCTTCTAGTAAATCTTCTGTCAGAACATGTCTCATAGGGCAGTGATTAACACTTATGCTTGAGTTGATAGAAAATAAGAGAGAAATGAAAGTTGAGGGGAAGATCTTAAAAATTTTCACAAATTTCTTTAAGAACTTTGCATAAACTTCCTGTTTCTCTCCTATTTTCTATCAAACTAAATACAACCTTACATTCTCATTTACCCACAAGCTTTATCCATGATCTACACCATAATGGATGTTCTTGCTTTGTAGAAGAATTGGCATGATAATGAAATTTTCATGAATACTTCATTTTGACTGTATTCCATAGCATCTTCTTGATCCTTTTTCTGAATGTCCTAAGTTTTAAATGGGGTTTTAAAGAAGAAATAGCATGGAAACTGATTCTTCATGAATTCTCTATCCTTGTCTGTCTATTCCACATCAGTCTTCTCAACATTTTTCGTTGGACATCTTTAATTTTAAGCAGGACTAATTTTTCTCATTTGGCTGTAGTTGCTGTTAACTACTATTGTCCGTATGTCATAACATCTATCTCTTCTTTCAGGTACAAATATTTACATGCTCAGTTTGGGAGATGTTTGGAGTTCCAACACCATAGATCTCTATCTTCATCGTAGGTAAACCATGTTAAGATGTATGTTGAGGGTTAAACAACTTAAATCTAACAATGATCACATGTGTCTTCATCAAAAAGTCATTGATTCTTGGCAATATACACAATGGTTGAAGTGATAGGTTTCTAACGGCTACTCAATAGATTCTAGTCAGGGTCAAGTAGTCACAGTTCTTGGGTCATTCTAGTTCTGTTTGATCTATATAAGAGTTTTTTCATAGCATGGGGAATGGAGAGTTAATGTACTTGAATCTTGTACGTTGTCAATTCCTTGAATTTGGGAAAAAAAAAGAAGAAAAAAGGGTAGAGAAGGAGAAGAGAAAGAAAAAAAGAGTTAACATGCTTGAATCATGGTGGGGAAATAGGCTGTTAAAGACTGCTTTCTTCTTCTTTAGTCCATTTCCTCTTTTAAAAACAAGCCCATCTCCCACTTTGCTTCTAGTTATAACCTTGGTTTTTTCCTACAATCTAGTCTTACTGAGAGGCTCAGGGGACTTTGAAATTGGAAGCCTGGGCTTTGTTCAATTTATTGGAGGGGTTTCCCACTGAAACTACAAAATCTAATTGTCACATTTGGATCACCAATCCTCAGGATTCTCTTGTGCATGCTTTTATAGACACTATCTTCTCAACTCAAGTAAATGCAATTTTCTTTTAATCAACTCATTTGGTGTTTTCCCCTGTTTTCTCACACTCTCTACTGATTAACATTTCATGATTTATGTTTTTATTTGTTTTAATGCAACCTTGCAAACTTTGCATTGGCATTTTGTTATTGAAGAACAAGGTAACAACTCTCAGTAAGATGCTGTACTTTTGATGTGCATTACTAAAAAAATCTATGGTTAGATTAGCTTCTACTTCTTGACATGATTTCTGCCAGTTAGAGAATCTTATAAAACCTGATCTGTAGTCCGCTTCATGACATCTGTCCTTTACACCATTTCTTATCAATCATGATAAATTCATACTTATCCTTTATGACTGCATTGGATACTATCCTACTTCTATTTTCATATGTCAGGCCTCTTATTTTGAAGGGTTCCGTACCTTCACGAATTCCCTAGTTCTTGGAAGTTTGTTCTGCATATTGTTTGCAGTGTAGTAGGGACTATTGTGATTTATGATATTTTCTTTTGGGATTTATGACATTGTTAATGGGCATATAGATACTATGACATTGTAAATCCTGATAATGGGATTCTGAAGAAAGGAAGGGAGATATTTCTTACAGGATGCTGTCTAAGAACTGCCACTGAAGGCTCTGGGTTTCCACGGCTTTTGCCAACGGAATATCTTGTAATACTTTTAGATGAGGTAATGCTCAAAGTCTTTATATTATGATAAATTTAGCAATAATTATGTTCTTTGTATTCATTTTCTGCATTATCATGGTGTTCAAAGAAATTCCCAAACAAGACATCTTGAATGGCAGAACTAGTGCCTTGGTACTCCAATTTGTGCTAATGGGGTGATGAACTAGCTATGGGGCATGGGTTCATGACTTATGGAGTTATCCTGTTCTGTACTCTAAAATGTTTTAGAATGCAGACTGTGCTGGGTTTATGTGTATCAGGTCAACTATGGAACTCATTGGATTCAGGTGACCCTATCTATTTATGCTACTTGGATGAACCCGATAGTCAATGCAGACTGCTGGATTGGCCATGCTTCACTCCCACAGTAAATGACAGCCCTTTGTACAACCTTGTATCAGAGTTTTGTCCAAGTAATAATTGTTGTTGAAATTTTTAATTTCGAACCGTTGACCCGTTCAATGGTTTTTGGTTGTTTTTTTTTTTTAATTTTTGTTGTCAGAATGGGCCATCCGTTCGAACCGGACAGTCGAACCGTCGACCCAAAAACCGGTGGCCAAAACGGTTCTGTCTTTAGGTCGTATGAGTCACATGCTCGAATGACGTAACACGTATGGTACTAGATAGAAACATAGGCTTCCTTTTTGGCCTCAAAGGTCAAAGCAAACAGTGTTTTAAAAGCACAAGGGGCAATTTGTGCCCGAGGCACAAGGCGCAAGGTGAGGTGTGCGCCTTTTCAAAGCAAGGTGCAAAAATACAAAAAAAAAGCCAAAAAATTTAGAAAAAATTAAAAAAATATTAAGCAGAATATTAATAAGATATAAACTTAAGATTTAAAATAAATATTAAAAAAAAACTATTATCTAAAATTAAAATACATAAACATAACATGTAAAGTGTATACAAATGAAAATTTAAAAATAAAACCAAACATATAAAACATTTTCAAGCATGTAAAACCCTCAATTCCTTTTTTTTCCTCAATTGCATAATTTGCATTACTTCAAATAGCTAATGGTGAGACTGTGCTTCATCTCTTAGTCTCTTGTCCCTTTGTTGGCTCTATATGGGACTGGTTTTCTTTGCTTTTTGGTCGCAGTTGGCTCACTCCTGATAATTTGGAAGGATTGTTTAGACCTTCTGTTTGCAGTTGTACAAAAAGGAGGGGCAGGTTGATGTGGAGATGTACTAGGTCAGCAATGGTTTGGACAGTTTGGGAAGAAAGAAACTCAAAAACTTTCTGGGACAAGGAGAGGAGTAATCACAACTCTAAGAGTGACACACCGAGTCAAGACCTTGAATCTCTTCTTAGATTTTGAGGTTGGTGATTTTCTTAGATCTTGGGGGGGCTATTGCTGACTCATCTTCTAGAAGACAGCTGGTAACAGTGGACTGGTCACCTCCATCTAGTGGGAGGCTGAAGCTGAACTTTGATGGGAATTGTGTGGACAATCTTGGCCCCTCTGGATTTGGAGGAGTAATCAGGGATGAGGAAGGAAAAATACATGCTTTTTTCTCAGGCCCAATCGAGCAAGGTGATGTTGCCAAAACAGAGTTCTTGGCTGCAGTTTTTGGGGTTGAGAAAACCAACTTTGGTTTTGAAAAGTTAATTATTGAAGGTGATTCCAAAATAGTTGTGGATTGGCTAAAGAAGGGGGAAGGAGTATCTTCGCATCTAAGGAATGATCTCAGATGGTTCAAATGGCTTTCTAAGGACATGTTCATTCAAGTTAATTGGGTTAGAAGGTCTGCCAACAGTTTGGCAGATGATCTAGCTAAGCAAGGGGTTCAGAGACACTCAGTTGTAATATGTATATACACACACACAATGGGTAGAACTTCACATCTTAGGTTTTTTTATTGTGTAAGATCTTTTGACTTGCATGTTTTATTATTGTAATTGCACTTTCTTTCGTAACAGGATCAAGATGAAGATGCAATGCTGCTAGGAGCTCAATTTTGTTCAGATTCTTTTTCTTCCATTTCACTTGATGCAGTCAGGATTGGAGTTTCATATTCATTTTATGCAAGGTAAGACATATTAAGTTGCATAAGGTTTTCTTTTGGGCTTCAGAACTAAGCTAAATTACAAAACTTACACAGAAAATGCGTAGGTTCCAACTTCCAATGTATTTACCCATTATTTGTATGGTAGCATTGTATATTTTCTTATATGATAATTGGTATGTATAAAACTGGCTCTTTGTGACCCTAGTTTTTAAAATCAAAGACATGATTACCTTGGAGGCTATGTTTAATTTCAATATTTCATCTTCCACAAACTGAAAGGTGCTGTTCAAAAAAGAAATAGAGACGGAAAAGTGAAAAAGCACTAGCCCTCATTGCTAACTGTCAGATTCTTAATGTTTAAGATGATGCAAGGATATAGAATGATGATAGATATACCTTTTTTTCTTCCATCTATGTATAGGATTGAATCAATTGGATCTTTGGAGATTCAGGGAAAGTTTGGTAGATTACAGAGGAAGAAAATAATGCTTGTTGATAATGATGGTGTCAAACTAAAGTTTCTCTTGTGGGGTGAGCAGGTTATTGTTGCTAATCTTTTCAGGTTAGTCCTTGTACTGTATTGCGACTTTTGTATTGATTTCCACTTCAGTTATGACTATCTATCTATATGAAATTTCTTTCAGTGTTGGAAGTATGCTAGCACTGGATAGACCTTTTATTGCAAGTGCAGTGGACAGTGCTATTGAAACCAATGAGCAATTTTGTCTTGAATATGGTAGTGCAACACAGTTATACTTGGTGCCATTTATTCAGCGTGAGGAACAGGTGGGTTGATGAACTGCAAATATTTTATCTGGAATATGGTTTACTGTAAAGAAAGATTTTTTTTTGATAAATGTAAAGAAAGAATATTATTGTTGCTTAGGTATGTCTAGCATCGACACAAAATCGGTGTCAAGGATCAAGATTGATAAATGCATTTGGTCAAAGTCAGCATTCTAAAGTTTCTCAAGTGATGTTGCCTTGTGATTCTCAAGGCTCTATAGACTTCAGAAATTATCCTTATCGAGTGAGTATTCCATCACTGAGGCTTCTTACATGTTTTAGATTGTCATCTTTTGTTTTTCCTTGTTTTAATTGGTTGTGACTTGATGAACTTTTTCTTTTCTAAAATCCATTTGAAGAGCAAGGGTCCGTTTGGTTCACAATTGAAATCAGAATTGGATCAATCTATTCTTCCCACCTATTTGGTTCAGATGGTAATCAGAATCGGAATCAGAATAGCTGGAATGGATTCTCATTCCCAAGGAGGAGGGAATGGTCATTTCCTCAAATGGGGGAATGCCATTCCACCAGGATTGGGAATGGAATTCTGATTCTGCCCAACCAAAGCAGTTGGAATCGGAATGGTCCATTCTGATTCTGATTCCAGACCCCTATTCCTGCAAACCAAACGGACCCTAACTTCTTAAAGTTGATAGCATTTGCAGTCACTTTTTGTAGAATCTCTCCACTTTGGTCACATTTTCGAGATTGGAACCTGCATTCTCATGCTTGCCAGCCCAAGATTTTACCACTACACCAAGCAATGCCCCTAAAATAGCTTTAACCATCTGTGTATTATATCTATTATTTTTCATGTATTCCACCCTGTTAAAGAGTCGATAGCAGGGATTTGCTATGGTATTAATAAAATCATCAGTTATTGATGAAAAACAGTGGTGAAAAGATAAAGGTCATTACCCAATGTTGGTCCCAGATATATGAGGCCTAGGGAGGGGCATACTGGATACAGACCTAATCTTTGGTATTATTTTGCACAAAATGATCACTCTCAGACTTGAACCTGCATTCTCACACTTGTCAGCCTGAAATTTTAGCATCACACTAAGCAATGGCCACTAAAAGAGGTAGTGAAAATATTCAAGAGACAAGGAAAGTACAACAAAACCCTTAGAATGTCCAACACCAGACTTCATTGAAGACTAACCCAATCGTTTGCTCTTAACATACTCAAATGCCCCCTTTTTTAAGAAATAGAAGTTCTCTAGTACGATTCACTCATTTCCATGCTTTATCTGGCTAAAGGCCATAACTCCTTATTACTCCAGCTATATGGGATCTTGGGAGGGGTGGAGTGGTGGACTGGATAAGGACCTAAAAAAACCTAACCTTTGTTTTTTTTTATTTTTTTATTTTTTCACAGAGTAGCCATTCAGAATTGAACCTGTGTTCTCACATTTGCCAGCCTGAGATTTTACCATTACCATTATCTGGCTAAAGAATCTTGGAAATCATAAGTCAAACTCCATAACCATGCAAAAGTTATATTTACCCTGGACACAAGAGCTTTAGCTTTCTCTAGTAAGGTTCATCATCTGTCATGGATCCTCATCCATGTTGTTCATCCATCTTATGACCACTTAAAGGTCACCTTTCACCTGCAGCATTTGAAAGTTCAAGGAGAACAAGAGCCAGAACCCCTATAATAATGCCAAAATTATTGCTCTGTATGTTTTCTTGCTTTGGATTTGCATGCTTTTGTAGAAAGGAGAAAATCTTATTCTAAGGATTTTTTTTTTTTGATTCATCAACTGAACATTGAAGGCTTTCACACTTTTATTCTTTCTTTTCATCCTTTTACTCAATTTTCCTTTATCATATCTTTGAAATAGGCTGAAACTAGCGGAGTTATAGCCTTTTATTTCACATATTTTTTCTGCATGAAATTCAGAAAACATCTTATATGTGTGGTTATATTTTGATCACTTCCATTACATGTTCAAATTCTTGCAGCCATTTGTGATTGATCTTTGTGACAAGATGACTGGCATCAGCCTTTATGGTGTTGTCAGAGACATCTTCCGAGAAAGAAGTACTGCAGAAAATGTTTTTTCATTGATAATTGAAGATACAACAGGAACAGTTTTGGCAAAGTTGTGTTTTGTCAGATCTTGGTAATGATGATATTTATTTTTTGGAAGTTTGATTTCTAGTGCATTTGTTTCCTTTCTGAGCTGTCAACATTGCTGCTTTATTAGTAGAAAATATCTGTTGTTTTTCCAGGTCAATGGGAAGATTAAGCCTTGGTCACACAATCTACATATCCGGTTTGACATGCTCCATGACAAAAGAAAAGCTGTGAGCACACTACCTACTTCTTTGCTATATTTGTCACTGTGAGAAATTGTACAATGGCAGCTAGGTAGTACCATTGATCAAATTATTGATACTGATATGCATTCTTGTGGGACTTTATAATGACAAGCTAAGAGCCCCCAAGTGGCCAGGCATAACACTTTTAATGGAATTATACGTGGAAGAAACAACTATGACATTAGAATGATGCCTTTTATAGAGGTTTAGTCAAAATTAAATCACAAATCTTGTAGATTGTAAAAGTGTTTCCAATCTATTAGAGAAAACCAAAGAATATATGGTTCTATCATTGAGGCAACAGGGCCCAGACACTTCCAGCTTCAACCCAGGCCCAGGGTCCAACTATAGTGCTGGCCCACAGACCAATCCCTACAAGCCAGATGATAAGAACTGAGAACAAAACAGGGGAATTGAGCTACCTTGAGGGAGCTCTGCCTCCTAATGGAAGCAGTAGAAGAGAGGAGAATAGGAAGGAAATTTCTCTTGTTATTCCTCCTTCGGTTCAAATGGCTACTTATAGCCTCATACATCCATTTTCATTGAGAATAACAACCCAGTAACTAACTATGCTGACCTGTCCTTCTAGAATATACGTATTTAAGAGGTGGCTTGTAGGAATTATCTTTGTGGATCAGCAATCGAGTTGGATCCTGAGCCTGGGTTGAAGCTGAAATGTCTGGGCCCTGTTGCTTCAATGATCTCTGGGTTCTATCAATATAGGAAAATGATTTTCCGTTCATTTCCAATACATATTCACCATAAATATAATCAAAATCAAATTCAAAGTCATTTAGCACACACACATTGGTTCTTTGATACATACCTTGATGGAAGAAAATTAGCCAGTTAGGGAATAGGGGCTTAGGATTCCAGAGAGAGAGAGAGAGAGATGAAGTTAACCTGGTATGATGTCCTGTTCGTCTTCTCTTGAACTTGTTTTACTGAGTTAGGGTTATATTTTCTAAACGAATTTATATTTTTAGACATTCTAAAATACTAAAGTTGTAAGTTCATAAAAATTGTAAAACATGAATGTGTGTGTGTAATGGATCACATAGGCACATATCTGAATTCAATCCAATAATTTACAGATTCGGCTTCACAATCTGATCCTTCATTCAACTTAAACAGATGCCCAAATCTGACTCTTATCAGATAGAATTCATATTCGAATTGGATCAGATCTGACTCATCTTTGTCAACTTTGAATTTTACCATCTGCAAAATATTTGCCAACAACCGCAAACCTTACAAGTGGAGGCTCATGAATAAAGAGTTCATATTATCTTTCAAAATGAAAACAAGTCAAAAGTCATACTGGAGGAACTAAAAGGAATAAAATATGAAATTGGGAAATCTAGAAAGTGTATAAATAAATAAGTAGAACAAAATACTGATTAAAATGTAAAAGGTATCAGAGTTTTTCTAAATGAGCATCTTCCATCGTAAAGACACATATCGCTTCAATCTCTTCAAATAGGTTTGAATTTGAAAGAGCCCAGTTTCTCTTTACACTTACAGTAATTTTGTCTTGGACATTTTTTAATCCTCATGACATGGTATGGCATATGGCAGTATTTTAAACAACTGATGGTATCAATTCCAGGTTTCCATTTCCTCTGATTATCAGTTGAATTTAATTTCTCGTAATCAATTTTCTAGGACTCTATTAGAATATCTCATGTTTGAATCATATTACTTGATAGGCTTGAAGCTTCATGGTTCGAGAAAGATGTTGGAGCTTCTATTGTAAACCTAAGTTGCTTGCCAGCATTGTTGAACTCATCTTGTCTCCACAAATTGTCATATCTTTCTGATCTCTCCAGTGAGACTACTATCACACATGTATGTTTTAATTATGAATATCTGACTTTGATCCATGAGGAAATGTTTAAAATTGTCGTATATTTGCAGTTCTTATGAAGTAATTCTTGATGTCTCTTGATGTCATATAATATGTTTCTAACTCTCCACTCCATTATGAAGGCATTCAAACTATAAGGATTAAAATGATGTCTTACTTTTGTTAATGCTGATTTCAAATTATAAAGAACACAATTAAAATGTGTATCTTTGTCAGTACAGATTGCAAGTGTATTTAATTGTACTCTAAAGAACAGTTTCCTTACAAATTGTTGCTTCAATCTTTTTTCTTTCTCACCAAGTTTGTCAAGGATTACCTTGCTAAGTCCATTGTCCTCTCTCCCTTCTTTTGCATAGAAACCAGTACTTAGCAAGATTGCCAGTTATTGACTATCTTATTATGTGGAAAGGTCTATCTCTGGTTCATTTTTTGTACTTGGTAGATGGGAAATTTGTTATCATCTACATTTTGCATCATACATGCCGAGGACCTCATTGATCTTTTCAACAATTCTTGGGTTCCATACAAACTCTAATGGACCTTTTCCTTGGGTCGATTAATAACTTGGTTCCTACTTCTTACTTGGAAGGGTTGTGCACCCTTCAACTCCTTTCCCTGTTTGCTGGATGTAGTTGATCCTAAAATTCTTATCTTAGCGTGCCCATTGAGCATCTTGGCTCAGTTCTTCTCCTGCTTGATATGGAGTAGGCCAATCTGGCTTGCTACTCTTGCCACAAACTGGTATGTTTTCCCTTAGAAGGACAATTATCCTGCAATTTTCTTCTCTTTTCCTTTTTTCCATTGAGTACTTATCCTGAGGTAGCAGATATAGTTTTTTTTTTCCTTTTCTGGATCATGATGGGAATGCACATCTCATCTCTCCTGGATGTATGTATGGATCTTATGGAGGCCTCAAACCTCCATCGGGGGTGAGGGGATGTGGCAAATCTACCAAGTGTCTTACCAGTGTCCAAAGTTGTGAACCTGGACCATGAGAAACAATTCATCCCTTTGATGCATATCATGCTTTACCCAATCTGTGGGTGGGTTTGGGGCCTTTCTAGAGAAACAGTATGGTGCACTAGGGTGGTCACTTGGGAGTGCGACTCATCCCTGCACAGTTTCTAGGCCCGCTGGCAATATTTTGGTTATGTTTGGTATTTCTGAGAGCTTTAGATTTGTGCCCATTTATGTCCTCTTGCTGATAAGTTTGGTTCACCATTTTTCCTATTGTATACTTTTTAATGATCTTTATCTTATCTCTCACCTCATGAAAAACTATGAAATGTGGAGACTTGCTCATGTAATGTAGTGGTTTTTTTTTTCTGTGAGAAAAGGTAACTTTCATCAAGACCGGGGGATATACAACAGGAAGAAAGGGGCAAAAAAGGCAGGCTTTACATCAGCATTATATTTGCACTATACAAAGAATCCCTATCCATCCCAGATTTAACTAGGCAATCAGCCATAGTATTAAAAGCTCTTGAAACCCATCTAAAAGAACAAGACAGATCTGTAGCAATTTCCTGGATCTCATTCAAAAAGTGGTCAAATCACCAAGGACCACCCTTCATCCCTAAAGCCCATCGATTGACATTTTTGAAATCACGTTCAACCTATAAAGGCCTAGCACATATAGCTTTTGCAGCTCTTAAACCCACAAGGAGATCCCTGACTTCAGCCTCCATGATATCAGCCCCACCATTAGGTCCACTATAAACCAAAAGAATGCCACTATTAGCTTCTGAGACATGGCCTCCAATCCCAGCAGGCCCACCATTGCCAGCTCGGCTTCTGTAACTTCCATCGAATTTCAAAAAGAAGGGGAGAGGGGGCTGAGCTCTGGGTTGAGAGGTGGGTGCTGATCTGTCCCAGAAGTGAGAAGAACTTCACCAAGATTTTTGTTCAACTGATCAAAAGATATATGCCTCTGAACTGATCACATGAAACAAGCCAAGAAAAGACAGTATGCAAGACATGGTTTTTTAAGGCTTCCCACAATAAGCATTTATTTTGAAAAATTCTTTTATTTCACTCTTTCCATAAGCACCACAGACCAGAATGCAAAATAGAGCTCCCAAATAGATTACCTCTGAATGTAGAGGTTGCCACTTTTTCTTTGAATAATGTTGAAGCTGTTGACCTTTTCATACATAGCCTCCCAAATGAAGAAAGATACCTTTGAGGGAACTGTAGAAGGCCAGAACCTCTTGACAGAGATAGGGGAGATCGTGGAGCCAGCGATAAGGGCAAGAAAATGGATTTAGAAGTGGTGTCTTGAGGAGAGGGAGACCAGACTCTTCTATCAGGAAGGGAAGAAGAGAGGAAAACATTACCAAGGGAGAAAGGAAAGAGGAAGCCCGAAGCCTCAGAGGATTCCAAATCTTGAGGGCTCTACCAAAATGGAAATTGAAAGGCAAACCGTGATTTCCTAGGTTCGGAACTGAAGAAATGGAGGCCTCTTTATCAGGGGAAATAGGGAAGAAGACTGGGATAGACAATAGAGAGGGGTTGAGCTCCTCACTACAAATTTTTCCAAAATTTAATTCTATTTCCAGAACCAGAAGAATATTTCAACCAAGGGGGAAAGGGGAAAATAAAGGGTAAGATTGGATGATACCTTTCCATGGGTGTGAGGAGGAGAATCTGTTAAGATTCAGGTTGCTGCCCCACCCATTTGAGTTCCTTTCATATTTGCTTCAAATGATAGAGGACCAAAAACTATCTTTGTTCGATAGGGAATTTCCAGAACCATTTTCCAAGAAGAGCTAAATTCCTTTCTAACAAATGGCTCAAACCCAACCCCCTTCAACATTTGATTTATAGGCAATGTTCATATTAACTAGGTATTGTCCTTTGCCACCTCCCCCTTCCCAAAGTCCCGTTATAGCTTTTCTATATGATTAGTCACCTTAAAGGGTCTTTGAAGATAGAGAGGTAATAAATTGGGAGATTGGAAAGGGAAGCTTTGATAAGAGCAAGTCTACCACCTTTTGAAAGCAAAATCCTCTTCCACAAGTACAATTTTTTCTTACATTTCTCAATTTTAGGGTTCCAAAAACTGGCTGATTTAGGATTACCACCCAAAGGCAGACCCAGATAATTAATTGGTAAGGAATCCAGCCAACAACTAAGAACTTATTTCAACTCCAAAAGGTGTTGCTGAGAAAGATGAATCCCTATCAAACTGCTCTTAGATAAGTTAATTTTCAGGCCTCTTACCTCTTACTGCTTCAAAACAATTCAAGATCTTTTTCAGATTGACAATCTGTTTATTTCCCTCCAGGAAAATAATAGTATCATCTGCATATTGAAGACGAGTGACATGAATACTTTCTCTTCCCAATGAGAAACCTCTAATCAGGTTCAGAGGTTCTGCTTTCACCAAAAAAGGCATCCAAAATGTCTGCTATCAAGGTGAATAGGAGAGGGGACAGATAGGAAACCCTGCCTTAATCCTCTAGAGGGCTTGGAGAAACCCAAGGCAGAGCCATTAAATAGAATAGAAAACCAAGTTGAACCGATGCACCCTTTCCATCACTGAAACCTTTAAGTTTCAGAATTTTCCACAAACAGTTCCAACAACCCTGTCATAATCTTGTGGTTGGCCAAATTATTTACCTTGTTTATCAATAACTGAAATTTTTATTCATTGGTATAAAAGAAATAAACATTGGAGTGCCTAAAAAAGGGCAGCCCAGTGTACAAAATTGCCACCAATATGGGGTCTGGGGAGGGACAGATGTACACAGTGTTACCCCTGTACACATAGAGAGGCTATTTCCAAGATTTGAACCCTGGTCACCCAGGTTGCAGTGGAGCAACCCAATTGTTGTGCCAAGGTCCACCCTCAAACATTGGAGTTCCTAAGCACCCCTGTAATTGGCCTAGCCCCCTGCTAGCCATTCACTCTGTTTTTACATCCTCATAAAACCCCAATAAAGTTGAGCTACAATTGGTCCTTGTTTTTCTAAACCATCTGGTAAATTTTTGGTAGATCTAGGGACCAACTGGTAACTTGCAATCAGTTCTGCCAAGTTTCTAATTTCTTTCATAAAATGTCTATATGACCAAGAACCATCACTTAGAACCATCACTTTTTTTCATTTAGCCATCTCACTTCCGTATGGGAGTTCCCTTCCACCATTTATAGTAACAGTGGAATTTTCCACATTCCTCCAATTTCTAATGATATCGTCTGCAGTAAAAAGAGCGGAAGTATTTGTTTCCATCAGTGTATTACAATGAATAAAAGAGCTAGTTTATTTACTTGTGTTACTATAATGGGCCTAGGGCCTTGTTGCTTAGACTGGCATGCATTACTCATCTTCCAATACTGTTTATGGGGGAGATGGAACTCATGGAAGGGCAGTTGTATACTTGTCTTGACAAAAAAGAGGCAATTGACATTGGACAACTTTCTGAGTTCTGACAGTATTCTGGACCCAAGGTTTGCAACCAACATAATTTGAGTTGGCCATATGATCCTTGTTTTTCCATTCAACCGTGTCAAATAATAAGTCTGAAACATTGTTTCAGGATTCATGTTAAGAGGGGTCTGCAAAGTGATTTGTACTGGTTGCCCACATGAGACAACCTTCCTCCTCAGTCTTGGGAATGGCAGTGCAAAACAGGCTCAACTCTCAAGGACTAACGGCCATTCTAGCAAGACTTCATGTATTTATTTCTGGTCTTTCTTAAAAAGTTTCTTGACAATCAGTTCTGATGTCCAACAAGTCAAAGTTCTATTGGAAGATAGATGTTCCTTATTTTCCATGCTTCAAAAGACATCTTTGCATTCTTTGTATAAAATATTATGCCATACTTATTGCTTATTTAATGTATTTTGAAGGCTTTGTACGCTTAACCACTCCTTGCATCTTTAAAGCATCTTTTCATATCCTTAGCCTTACAAATGCTAATTCTTTTCTATAAATTTTACAGATATGTTGTGTTCAGCTTAACCAAATTGAACATTGTCATGTCAGTACAAGATTTTTGCATGCCCCCTGTGGCCATTTTGTGAATGAGAGTGCTGATGCATTTATGGAATGTTATTTCTGTAACTTCATTTGTGATTCTGAAGTTGTTCGCACCTTCCATTTGAAAATAACCATTGCTGATGAGAGTGCAAAGATTTTTGCATGGTGTATGGGTCAAACTGCTGCAGAGTTGCTGCAGATTTCTCCTGATGAGTTCTATGAGTTGCCTGAGGTAATAAATCTATATTATCCTGTCAACATGTTTCTGGCCTTTTTTTTCATTCGATATGCAGTAAGGTTCGTGGTCCATGTCAAGAAGACATTTTACATAATCACACAAGCAAGGCAAGCTAGAACTGTTCATTTATGAGATCATGATGAATTTTCTCCATCCATTTGGTTTTTTACTATGTGAAACAAAGTGGGAGGTAGCCATATGTGTGGATCTCTTGGGTCCTTTTACCACAGCTGTCATTTGTAGAAACCATACAAGTCCAAATTCATTGTATCTGAGGCCAACAATGTTTTCTAAACAGATCCAGGGGTGCAACTTGGGCAGGCTTGGGTTGAGAATTTGCATTTGAGTGAGCCCAGCCAAAGACCCAGGGCAGATGCTTTGTAAATTCCTCAAATTGGATGGCCAACTTGCACCCCTAAACAGATCCAGTATATGAGGCCAACAATGCTTAAACAGATCTAGGGGTGCAACTTGGGCAGGCTCGGGTTGAGCATTTGCAAAATTGAGTGATCCCAACCAAAGGGCCCAGGGCAGATGTAAATTCCTCAAATTGGATAACTCACTTCCACCCCAAAACAGATCCAGTATCACATTTCTAGACAATTGCATAACATCTGACATAGCTTCTGAATATGGTGTGCTTCTCCATGTAACCCCATCTCTGATGTAGAACGGGGTATGGGTCCTACAAATTTCAGATCTGGTGATGGGCTTTGTGGGGTGAAGGAGGTGTTTTGGGGTGATTAAGATTAAAGAATGGGGGGGTGAGGAAACAAGTAGACAGCTTGCTGTTCATCAAATGATAAATTGATAAGAAATTAGAAAGAAAGAGAACTCTTGCTGTTACGGAAAACAGCAAAGAGATGGATCACTTAGAAGAAGAAATAAGTGAGAGAGGGGGGGGGGGAGAAAAAAAATCCCAGCAACAACCAGAATTCACTAAACTAAATTTTGTTTCATCAATTCAACTCTTTTTAAGTTGCAATTACAATGACTATTTATAGAGCCAATTTATGAACCTGGATGTCCCTTTACAAAACTCTAATTTGGACTAGGAAACTGATCCAAAATCATCTTCTAATTGATTTAGAGCGAAGACAAATCCATAGGTAATCTATGAGCATACTTAAACAAGGACTCTTTATGGCTTTGCGAACACTTTCCTGCTCCTATTAAAATTAGCGTAATGCAAAGACACCAAAAATTACTAAAAATAGTAAATCATGAATTTAATATAAATAATCATTACAAGGATTACTATAAATAGCAAGTATGAAAGTTACCATAAATAGAAATTTCGAAATAAAAGAAAATTTCTAGAAAGATTAAAATGATATTCTCAAGACACCTAAAACTAGAAAATAAATTAATAACTCAAACAATACTGATATTCTCATCACTCAGAAATTCTGAAACTGTTGTACAAATTGGAAAACTGATGTTTCTCCATGTATTCTTTCCTTGCTTCATTATTTGCATTATTCTCTCCGGCAACATTTGCTTCAAACAATCCTGTGCCTCATGATGGAAAGGTTCATTCTCCACCTCTTTTAGGAGAAACTATCAGAAAATTAATGACCTATATCAGTAGCAAATAAGAAAATGGATTGTGGGACTGTTGCGGGAAAGGGCAATAGTAGATGCGGGTAATTCAGAGAATCGAGTATTAGATGGGCACCTGGGAGTTGCGATTTTAGCATTCCATTTGGCAGAAAACCTGGCATTGCAGGCTTAAGTATCGATAGTCAGAATGGAATAGAGCTAAAATGCAAGCAAATCAATAGAACAGGAACTGTATCAGAACGTCTTGGTTTTCTATGCCATTTTCATGGCTATAATTTGTGAAGAAAGTATGTCAAGTGTTATACATTGTTTGCATGCTTAAATGGAAAGCTTAAGACAATGCATAGTAAATACCTATGCAATTCTACCCTTTTCTTTTTCCGTATTTTTAATTGTTCATTCAATTCAGGAAGAACAAGCTATGTATCCTTCCTCGCTTGAGAATGAAAGGTTCAGAGTTGCAATTGTCAACTGCAAGAGGCAAGGTTATGGACTTGCTGGCGGTCTGGACCAAGAAAATGATTCAGTTGCATGGGAGATTACTTGGGCATCCAAGTGTGAATGAAATATTGTACTACAAGCATATTCTCAAAATGTCAGTCTTCTCAAAGTTGGCTCAAACTTCAGTTTGATGTTGATCAAGGAGTTGAAAAATAAGTCTTGGTAATTTAGCCAAGTTGCAAGATGGATTCCTTGAAGTTCTTGCGTGTCTGAGAGATTTGGTGGAAGAGAGAAACTTGCAATGCAGCCAAATGCAAAAGCTCTGCACTAATCAGCAGCTACACTTGGAAGGAGATAGGTACATAATCAACTGAGACCTAGTTGGTTGCCGAGCATGTTGGTGCTCATACCGTCAAATTGATGTAGATTATTTTGGCAGGGAAGTTTACATCTTTTATCAAGTGAAGCTGATTCGGCCTACGGGAAAAAAAGAACAGGGAATTTATAAGAGGTACACTCCACGATTCCTGATAAAGCTCCATGATCATTTTTCCAATGTCCTGTTGTGCTTGTACTTATCCCTGAGACTCCAAAATTAGGATATTGTGTGATCTTTTCTTTTGTAAGCAGCTTTTCTCCTTTCTGCTGGCGGTGCGCCCCAAACTCCAACTGAAATGTTAAACTTGTCAAGTAGTTGAGCTAATGAACTTAAATTATGCGACTGTATGTCTGTATCATAAATCATTACAATATTTTACTCGTAACCTTAGGCTGTGTTTGGTTTGATAAAAAGTAAGAGAGAAACGCAACTTTCCATCAAATTTTCTCTTTTTCTGATTTTTCTTTTCTATCAAACCAAACATAGCCTCAATTTATCAAACAACAAAACGGCAATTTGAATAAAAGTAATAATTTAATCAAGCCATTTCTCCTAACACTTGAAAAGCAATATAAAGGGATTTCAATTCTCAAGAGAATCCTACACTGTGAACTCTGATTTTGTGACAGTACTCCCTTTTAATCTTGTGTGGCCGAGCTGGGCATTCAATCATTAAATGCCAATCACAAGGGAGGCTACTGAATGAAGATGGATTTTTGAGCTTACACTATGTATCTTATACTTGTATGAAAGTAAAGGTTAAAGATATAAGTTAATATTATATGATCAAAACCAAGGGAAGTATTCACTTTATAATAATAGAGATTAGTGTAAACCTTCCTAACACCTCCTAGGCCAAATAACTAATTGGAGATTGTAAATGAGGAGTGATCAGAGCAACTGCTCTTTAGGGGTCCAAAATGATTGATTTAAATTTTTTATTACATGAAAACCATATACATACAGACCAATTGAAAAAGAAAATTAAACTAGTAGACCCAAATTTGATTCATTTATATGATTTCAATCAAATGTTACCCATTGGATTTATGCCAGTTTTGAAACATATTTGAATTGAAATCGGATATTGAATAGCATTAATAAATTAATCTCAAAATAATCAAAATATTATATATTATTAATTAGATTAAATGATTAATTAAAAATAATTTTGATATTGCATATCATGAACAAAATGAATTCTTTTTTGGGAAATTTAGAGTTCAAGTGAACAAAATGAATACAAAACAACTTGTTTGAAACTTGAACTTATGAATCTTAAATCCAAACCAAATTTACTTTTAAATATAATATAAATTTATTTCTGAGTATGCTTGGTTCATTGTCCAATTTGAGCCCAGTTGAGCTTGAACATGTGAGCTGTCGAGTAAAACAAGTTTGAACGGTGTGAGTCCATTTATGTTTGGAGTGCTTTATTTTTAAGCATTTATTGGAAGTTGGATCTACACGAATAAAAAAAAAAAAAACATTTGTGGCTTTTGGTAAAACTTGTAAGTGGGCACATGCTTTCCATGTGGCAATTTTTGACGATGTTGATTATGATAATAAATAAATATGATTTTAAAATTTTCTACATTTTTTATATATTTTGTCTATAAAAATTATTCTTATTTGTCATAGTTATTTTTCTTTAACATGATGAATATATGATATTAGAGATGTGCCCAAATATTTTTTACAAAAAAATTTGTATCTTTTATACTTCTGTGTTTTCATTTATTTTTATTTTTATTATTATTTAATTATGACATCAAGGGTTGATACATTTGATCCAAAACGTTGAATTGTTGACTCGCCACCAAAGAGGAAAACAACTCCATTTTTTGGTTGGTTTTAAATTTGTATTTTATTTCTATCATCAATAAAAATAATTATTCTTTGTCATACTTATTTTTCTTTAATATAGTAAATTAATATAGTTTCAATGAAAGAATGGGAGTTAATACCTTATATATGGGACTTAATGAGATGGAATTGAACGAGGAGAAATGTAATAATTAAAGTTACATTCTATGCCATCACAATTAGAGGGACCAAATTCAAAAATAGGGGTATTCTTATTAAGAATATGTAGTATTCAATGAATGTTAATAATGAGAGTTAAAACCTTAAATATAAAACTTAATGTGAGGGATTTGAATGAGGAGAAAAATGGTTGTTCAAATTACATTTTTGTCCTTACAATTAGAGGAATCATATTAAAAAATTGGGGTATTTTAGTCAAACAAAAGTTTCATACTCTTATTCACACTTTTAATAATATGGGTTCTACCATGATATGGAAAATATATGATATCCTATGTAGTAGCGAATTAGGTGTTATTTATCAAAATTCATGCGTGGGTTTTGATTGATCAAAGCTTCTTTCCATATCATATCTTTTCCGCAGCATAGATTTTAGATACGTGATTATTTTTATAAACAAGTGATTTTTCAAGAGAATAAGTCCGTTTTGAAAAAGCTCAAAAGGCCAAAATTACGACTTTCTTACAAGTGCTTATTGAAAAAGCACATATTGCATTTTTGGCCCCTCTTAGCCCGCCACATAAGCCATAATCTTATAAAAATACCTATACCCCGTCTGAAAGTATCACTTTTTCACCAAACAATTATAAGCTGTTACATCTTTAACCACTGGCCCTTGCTTGTTCTTTCCCATTGATCAAAACCTCATTCTCATCATCGATAATCTGTGAGGAACATGACTCCTTCTGGATTGAATTCTCTGCAACAACTCATGAGTTCACAAATTCTTCTCGGAGCCTCGGATTGATATGGTTCGATCTGACACCCGCTTTCCACTTTCGTTTTTCTCCTAATTTCTACTTATTAGATCCTTTAATTAAGTTCACAYAAGTTGTAAGGAYGATTGTATAACTTTTGATCTTTACATACAGGTGATTCTAACTCTGAAGGGTGTAAAAGAAAGGAGAAGATTGGTGATGAGAGGCGAAATGGGATGATCGATCGTTTGGATGTTTCTTATTTTTCGAGTCAGTCTGACTTCGGGTTTGTTTCTTGAATTGTTCAGCATTGACGCCGGATGCTTTCTTTTGTCTTGGCGCTCTAAATTCTAAAACCAGAGCGAAGTTCGCCGTTTTCTGTTCTCTTTTGATCCTTACAATTATTTTTTATTTTTCAATTTCTGGTCATGTAGTTGACATGAACATTTCCAAACCACCTCCCACACACCCACAGAAGGAGGACTGACGACTGACATTTATTTGTAATTTTCCGCTGTGGTTTYATAAATTAATTTGTTCTTTTTTTCCTTTCTGTGTTGAATATTATTAGATTTTCAGAGCAKCAGAGGGAGTATGTTTTGGGAAGAGGAAGAACAGTCCGTGGGGAATCGTTTCTGGGGATTGTGGTGCAGTCGGTAACCCATAATCCACTTTTGACGTGGCAGCTTATGGGGTGGATTCAAAGGAAAATCCCTTCGATTCTGAACSGATCTGATCTTGCCTAYCGAGAGAGAGCTCCAGATCTTGATTTGGTTTTTCACTTTTTTGCATCCCCTTAATCAATGGAGGGATAGAATGCGTCAAGGATGATAAATTACAGACATATCGAGCTGCTCTTCTTGACTTCATGGAATGATCTCTCTCCTCTTCGTTCATTCCCATTTCTTCTCCATCGATGCCTGATTCGAGATGACAATCCCTGAGCTGAAAGTCCGGACGAGAAAGTTAAGCGTCGGAGGCTTTGTCCTGGTTGCATCACCTCGGAGGAGAAAGGTAGCCGCTCAGAGCCGACGTGAGCAAGCAGGCTCTTCCCGTTCCGTTCAAGAAGACGAGAATGAGAGAGGATTGGAAGACAAACAGAAAGAGGCAAACCCCAATTCCCAAAACACAGCACAGGATTGGATAATCACAATCAAAGAGAGGCTTGATCAAGTCCCTGCATCTGCAAGCGAAGGAGGGCAGTCGTCGCTCCACCGCAGCATCTTCAGAGTGCCCAGAAACCTCCGAGAGATGGACCAGAAGGCCTACGTTCCACAAATCGTCTCCATAGGTCCTTATCACCATGGCAAAGCACGTCTCCAGGAGATGGAGAAGCAAAAATGGAGGCTCCTCCGTCACGTCCTCGAGCGCACATCACATCCAGTGGAGCTCTACCTGGAGGCCATGGTGGGGCTAGAAGAGAAGGCTCGGCAGTGCTACTCGAAACCCATCGACAACATGGACAGTCGAGAATTCGTGGAGATGATGCTGCTCGACGCCTGCTTCATCCTGGAACTGCTGAATGCTTCTGTGAAAGGAATCATACACTGTGGGTACTCCTGGGGAGACCCTGTATTCACTTCGCGAGGAGTCGTGCCGTGCATCCAACGCGACCTGTTGATGCTGGAGAACCAGCTTCCCCTCTTCGTGCTCGACCGCTTGTTCGCTCTCACCTGTGACCCAAATGAAACCACCGAATCAGTGAGCCAACTCGCCCTGGAATTTTTCGACTCGGTCATCCCGGGATGCCGGAATCAACAGCATGAGCTCAAGAACGGCAACGACCCAGGGCTCCATCTTCTCCACGTTGTCCGTCAATGCCTGCTTCCCTCCTCTTCCAAGCATAGCTTCCAGCGAATTCCGTCCAGCATCAGACAGCGTAATAAGCACAAGCCCCAACTAATGACCCACTGCGTCACAATGCTGAGGGACGCGGGAGTGAAGTTCAGGAAGAACGAGTCGACGAAATTCATGGATATTAAATTCAAGAAAGGCATTCTTTACATTCCGCCATTGGTGATTCACGACTCGACCAAGTCGATATTTCTTAATCTGATGGCTTTCGAGCAATGCTACCCCCACTGCAGCAACCATGTGACATCCTACGTGAATTTCATGGATGGGCTGGTTAATTCTCCTCAGGACGTTGGGTATCTCCGTTACCGAGGAATCATCGACCATGGGCTTGGGAACGAAGAGGAGGTGGCCGATCTCTTGAACAGACTCTGTAGGGAAGTTGCCTTTGACATCAACGACTGTTATCTCTCCGGCGTATCCTTTGATCTGAACAGATATTTCGAGCATAAATGGCATGCGTGGAGAGCCAGCCTGAAGCATGACTACTTTAACAGTCCTTGGGCCATCATCTCCCTTCTTGCGGCTATCTTTCTTATTGGGCTGACGCTAACACAGACAGTTTATGGGATACTTGCTTACTATGCTCCTCTATTTTGAGGACTGAAACTTTTTTGATTCAAGGGTCGGTATGTATGTTATATAGGTGGAGTTGTTTTAAATTTTGAATCGTCGTAGGTCTGCAGTTCAAATCAAAATTCTGAGGTATGTATGTTATATAGTTTATGGGATACTTGCTTACTATGCTCCTCTAAACATCCTTTCTTCGATCAGCAGCTCCCCTCAGAAATGAAATCTCAAATGGCATGGTACAAAAACCGAAACCCCCGCCTTCCCCAGCCAACAAGCCCCTACCCGCACGTCAGCATAAAAATTTTATTATTTTACCCGTTATACCCCTGGACCCCAGAAAAGAGTTCTCTTCGAAAAATAATTTGGCCGTTGAAGCTTTGCTCTGTTCGAAAAACCTCTGACTGTTGAAGGAAGCTCGAAGCTGAGTTTAGCGGCTGTTGGAAGGATTCTCAGGCCCCCTACGTTCAACTGACTTGGAGGCCTGTGTTTCCGGTTCACTCAGTTGGATGCCCCTTATGTTTCCGATTAAGTCTAATGCTTTAGCATTCTGTTGGCCACCCGTGCAAAGCCTTCCCGAGCTTGTTGTACTCTTATGCATCGTTCCTCAATCAGTGTCGGTGATCGACCTTTCAACCCCCTCATCCAATCTTGATAATTTGCAGTGCACTAGAGATCGGAAACCCTGTTTGTTGGCACTAATCAACCACAGGCAATTTACTTTATTACTTGATTTTTTCCTTGGTTGAGTGTCGTAAGGATCTCTTAAATGATTTTTTTAATGTTGCTTAGTTCAATGCTAATGAAAATGAATTGTTTAATGTTGATTAAGATATGAATGTCATTAACATGGGTTGTTGAACATTTGTAGGTATGAATAGCCAATGGTGTATCGGGAATCAACCTCCTAATAGTTTGTAGTATGATACTAAGTACTATTATTGCAAACAAAAATGCATCATTCGAATTTCAACAACTCAGAATAACCCATAGAAGTTGTTTTATAGTTGTTGATTAAAATCTGAGGTAATATTTTCAATGGGACGATATTGTTTGTTAGCATTGATATAAGGCATGTACATTGCAAGTCACATGTGTTGCACTTGTAGGAGCAGGTGTTGGATAGCCCAACGACTAAAAGTGATTCTATTGATGGTTGCAAATTTTTTGAGTGAACGATTCCTCGAGGTTCGTCAAATGAGGTTACATCGGCAAGTAGTCATGGCAGTATTGTGGAACGCCTTAGAAATGTGGAGAGAGTAGTTGATGTTTGCATAAGGCAAATTGGGTCCATGAAATCAATCCATGAGTTAGCTGTTGAAAGTATGGCTACAATTAGGTGACTTGTTTTTGTTCTTTTTGTTATTATTCTCCTGACACTGATCTTTTTGAATAATTGACCATAAGTGGTGAATATGTTGGTTCAGCATTTTTACTATTGTGTTAGAAGACTCCCCCCCCCCTTTTTTTGTTTTCATGTTAGCGAACCATTTTGGTGTCTTGTTGTAGTTATGTTAGACTTTTAAATATAAATATATAAATATAATTGCTTACACGATTTATTTTGTTCACTAAGAAATATTTGTATACCCATCGAATGACGTTCCCGCAGGAGGCAAAGACCTAGGCTCACGGAAAAGGCTAACAGTGGGAAATGGTGCTTTTGTAGGCTCACGAAAGAGGCAAACCACCGTTTCCCACCAATGGTCTAGGCCATTAGGCCAAGGGGTGATTGGAAGGTGTGAGGATGCTTGGTAGGTCAGCAGCAGTATGAGGGTGTGGGTATGGTGGCCATTGCACCCCTCTACACATGTCGGAGCGGCCAGTCGATGAGCCTGGGTAGACGAACAGCGATACCACCTCCACAAGATAGGGAGAGGTCTCCTATACGTCTCCACAGGAGGCAGAGACGCATCGGACCGACGGGAAAGACTAACGATGGGAAACTATGCTTTTGTAGAACCACAGTTTCCCATTGTCGATCCGAGCCATTGGGTTGATGGGCAACCGAAAGGTGTCGGGATGCTTGGTGGGTGAGTGGCAATAGGAGGATGTGGGTTTCGTAGCCAACGAACCCCTCCACACTTGGTGGAGCGGCCTTTGGGTGATTTAGCCATTTCCAACATGTTGTCCCAAAGGGGGTGCGGGGGTAGACGGGCAGTGATACCACCTCCACGAGGTGGGGAGATGTCTCCAAGACGTTCCCATAGGAGGTAGAAACGCACAGAGCCAACGAGAAAGGCTGACAATGAGAAACGATGCTTTTACAGAACCACCATTTCCCATCGTCAATCCGGGTCGTCGGGCCGATGGGTGACTGAAAGGTGTCGGGATGCTCGATGGTGAGTGGCAGTAGGAGGGTGTGGATTTGGTGGCCAACGAACCCCTTCGCACTTGGTGGAGCGGCCTCCGGGTGATTCTACCATTTCCGACACATTATCTTGGAGGGGGTGTGGGGGTAGACGGGTAGCGGTACCACCTCCATGGGCTGGGGAGAGGTCTCCTAGACGTCCCCATAGGAGGTAGAAATGCATCGGGCCAACGAGGAAGGCTGACAGTGGGAAAGGGTGCTTTTCCAACGAGGAAGGTGTCGGGATGCTTGGTGGTAGAGTGATAGTAGGAGGATGTGGGTTTGGTGGTCATCGAACCCCTCCACACCCAATGGAGCGGCCTTTGTGTGATTCTGCCATTTCCAACGCACTGTCCCAGAGGGGGCACGGGGGTAGACAGGTGGTGGTACCACCTCCATGGGGTGGGGAGAGGTCTCCTGGAAGTCCCCACAAGAGGCGGAGATACACTAGGCCAATGGGAAATGTCAACGGTGGGAAATAGTGCTTTTGTAGAACCACCGTTTCCCATCGTTAGTCTGGGCCGTCGGGCCGATGGGCGATCGGAAGGTGTCGGGATGCTTGGTGGGTGAGTGGTAGTAGGAGGGTGTGGGTTTGGTGGCCAGTGAACCCCTCCGCACCCAGCAGAGCAGTGTCCGGGTGATTCTACCATTTCCAACATGCTGTCCCGGAGGGGGACGCAGGGGTAAACGGGCGGTGGTACCACCTCTACAGAGTGGGGAGAGGTCTTCTGGACGTCCCCATAGGAGGCAAAGATGCCTCGGGCCAACGGGGAAGGTCGACGATTGCTTTTGCACCGTTTCCCACCATTGGGCCAATGGGCGACTAAAAGGTGTCGAGATGCTCAGTGGGTGAGTGACAATAGGAGAGTGCGATACCACCTCATAAAGTGAAGTAAATTTAATTGTCCAAGTGTGACGTGAAGCCTATACTATAATTTTGGCACGTATACATATAAATAAACATAAGGGAATCCAGTTGGCAAGTGTAAAGTGCAGGCACATGTAAAAGCAATACATGTCTACTTCCATTAAAATTTCCACATAGATGTTATACTAGCATAAAGGAAAGGGAAGGTTCCTAAAACCCCTACTGAGGGTGCTTTCATGCTGTTGGGGTAATGTTTAGGTTGGGTGGGGATGGGGTGGAAGGGACGATACAATTATTGATCAAAATATATGGCCAATAAATATGATTAGTCCCTTTGTGGTATCAAATGCACCAATGGCGACCACGGGGACGTTACACTCATGTTACAGATTATTGCTCGATACACTGGTTTTGGCCCGCGCCTTCATCTGTGTGACCTCGCGTCCAAGCTCCAAATTTTGTTGTCTCAAAGCCAAATTCTCCTGCATCAAAGCATCCATGTCTCTCTATAGATTCTAACTTTGCCTAAGAATGTGGTGGTATTCTAGGTATGTAACATCCACCACATGGACGCGGTGGACTTTTCTGATGTGGCGGATTCCTATAACAGTCATTGTTTGTATGCTAACTCCTGGCGATGGACGGAGTTCACCAGTAAATGATACCTCATTTCCATGTGTGTTGAAGGCCACGGTTGCTTGGTAGAGGTCGTTCCCGACGCTCACAATCCACTCTGCATCATGTGCATTCAATTCATGGAGGATCAAGTTAAGCAACTCCCTCTATGGAATAATTAGTGGTTACGTCATTGTGCTCCATCATGGACCTAAAAAAAACATAGCAGAATTTGGTTAGAATGTGAAGTGTGTTAACCAAATGCATTAACTGCCCCATGGCAAGGCCCATAGGTCATTGTAATGCAATATATTAGAGTGATATTCAAATGTTAATTCCATGGTGATGTCTGTCGAAGGGTCATCGTACTGACCGCTTGACCTGCACCACGCTGCGGTGCACCTCCTTTACATTAGATTTCCCTATGGTCGTTGGGTTGCACCTCCTACAGCCAATGCCCTTTACATTAGAATGCCCATTGGTAATTTATCGCCATTCCACTCTCCCATCCTAGGCCTCCCTTGGTCCTTGTGCATGGGCGGCCAAGACATGTGTGAAACAATACATAGGTTTGGTCTATCCCTCTAGCCCATGGTGAGGTCTGTTGAAGGGTCATTGTACTAATCAATTGAACTACATCACGTTGCAGTGCACCTCCTTTACATCAAATTGCCCCATGGTCATTGGGCTGCACTTCGTACAACCGATTTCCTTTACATTAGAGTGTCCATTGTTCATTGACTTGCACCACTTTCCCATCCTAGGCCTCCCTTGGTTGTGCATGGGTAGTCAAGACATGTGTGAAGCAGTACCTAGGTCTGTTCTATCCCTCCAGCCCATGGTGATGTATGTCGAAGGGTCATCGTATTGACCAATTGACCTACATCACATTGCAGTGCACCTCCTTTACATCAAATTGCCCCATGGTCGTTGGGCTGCACCTCGTACAATGGATCTCCTTTACACTAGAGTGCCCATTGGTCATTGACTGCCATACTCCAACCATCCCCTACCCCTCTCATTTAAACCCCCACCCCCATCACAAGCAGTTATCTTATAAGCACCACCCCCCACCACCAAGGTTGGTGGTGGTCTACACATCCTTCGGCTAACTCACAATATTGTATTCTTTCTTCGAAATGTTTTCTTCCACCATTTTCTCTTCGCATCAATAGTTATGACTAATGATATCTATTTTTTTTTTTTGCAAGTGTGTTTTTCGTTCACAAACACATATGAACCCTGGGGCGGATAAGTCAATCTTATGCATTTGCAACTTTAATGGCGAATCAATTGGCATTGTTATAAACGAGAGCACAGAATTAAATTCATTTGTGTAGACCATTTGTGGGTGTTTTGGGATCGACCCA